TTGGGCGGGGGGGTGGGGGGCAGAGGGAAAAAACTGTTTCCAGCCTCTCCTCTGACTTCGGCTGCAGAAGCTCACAAGCCTGGCTTCCCTTCCTCTCGAGAGCTACATTTCCTGCACATTTTGTCCAAGCCCATCTGAGAGTAGAGCTGAAAGATCAGCTCGGCAGAGGATAATAATCTGTGTTGTGGCTGGTTAGGTGAATTGTTATTTTGTCCGTCACTCTGGCTCGGGGATGGTGAGAACGTGACGCCTGCCGTTTTCTGGGCTGTTCCACTGCCCCCAATCACAGAACCCTTCAAGGAGGCAGGTCTGGGAGCTGCACGTTCTGCTTCAAAGCTTGCTTACGCTCAGGTGCATCACCATCAGGCCTTCCAAAGCGTAGATGGGCATCTCTGTATTTGATTGCTAGGCACGTGTTTAGCTGGAGCATAGTTGCAGCGCTTAGAGGGTTCCCCATGGCTTGCTCGCGGCCAATCAGACCTCAGTCAAGGCAGCAGCTGAGTCAACACAGCCCCAGCCCTTGTGACTGAGAGCAGGAAGTAGAATCCAAGTGAGAAGCAAGACTTTGCCCTGGGGAGGGTGACACGCGGGCTGTGCCATGCGCCCCATATTTCTTGCGGTCAGTATCTGAACTTTCCTTCCCACGGAGCGCCACAACAGATTCAGGCATTAGAGCTTGCTTTCTTCTCCCCCTCCCTGGCAGAACCAGCTGAAAAGGGCTCGCTTCACAATTGTGGATGGCAAATCAGGGAAAGGTATCAGTTTCAAGGATGTTGCAGGCATGCACGAAGCCAAGACAGAAGTCAAGGAATTTGTGGATTATCTGAAGGTAAAAACCATAACTTTCCTTGGAAAATGGACAGGCCAAGGACGGGATCCTTAGGGGAAGCTGCAGACCAATTTTTGCCTCATCTAGGAATGTGGCAAGGCCTTTTCCCCGGGTTTCCAAGAACTGAGAAGTGTTCCTCCCAAGACACGTTCAGACAAAGGAGTCTGTAGGAGGGGCTACAAAATGTTTTTCGCCCCCTGCTGCATGTGTGGGAAAGAGGACCTTTGAGAACGGCCCCTTGTTCCTCTGGCGTTCTCTGCTCCATCCCTTTCTTTTGATTCTAGAGTCCGGAGCGCTATCTGCAGCTGGGTGCCAAAGTGCCCAGAGGTGCCCTCTTGCTTGGGCCACCGGGCTGTGGCAAGACCTTGTTGGCCAAAGCAGTGGCTACGGAGGCACAAGTGCCGTTCCTGGCGATGGCTGGCTCCGAGTTTGTGGAGGTGATCGGTGGTGAGTCTGAGGGTGTCTTGGAGCCACCTGGGGGAAGGAGAGGCTTTCCAGAGGTCTCTGGCTCTTGATGCAGAGCAGAAGTTGGCTGGAGGCTCCTGGCCCGCCAGAGGGGGGCTTCAGCCAGTTTCCAGGCATCTCCTTGGGGTGGGGCAGTGGGGCGGGTGGCAAGGCTTGTGCACCTCTGGGGAGATTTCTTTCTGGAGCATCCTCCCTACAACTGATCCGAAGACTTGAATATTTCTTAGAAACATTCAGTGAGAAAATTCAGTGAGTTGCTACTGAGTCTCTCCTGAAAGCGATTTTTCAAGTATCTTGTTCTGCAGGGAAAGAGCACTTTGCTGTTCGGGAACCGCAAAGCTTTCCCACAAAGACCTGTTACTGATCCGCTGCTGCTGCTGCTCCTTCCTACATGCTTCCCTCTTACTGATCCTCCACCACCTCTGACCGTAGAAAGCTTGTGCTGGGGCCCCAAGGTCTTTCCGGGGGTTGGGTGGCTCTGTAGAGAACACTTCTCTCGAGGGGCTTCCCAGACCCCAGAGGAAGCACTGGAACTTCTGCTAGCCACGCTTCCTGGGCTCCAGTGGCCTCCTTGGTGCTCCTTTGCTCTCTGCTGGCACCTGGCAGAAACCGGCCCTGCTACAAATGCACACAGCAGCCTGTGACTTTGCTGGGCTGAGCGTTGTCACGGTCCCTATCCAACAGGAGCAGAAGCTTGAGGGCCAAGTTTCCCTTCCTTCGATGCAACCGAGGGAATCCCTTGGCCAGCACTGAGAGTAACTCCCACTTTGCCTATCTGTAGGTCTTGGCGCTGCCCGGGTGCGGAGTCTCTTCAAAGAAGCCCGAGCTTGTGCCCCATGCATTGTCTATATAGACGAAATAGACGCGGTGGGGAAGAGGCGTTCGACAAACATGTCTGGCTTCTCCAACACAGAAGAGGAGCAAACTCTGAACCAGCTGCTGGTAGAAATGGACGGTCAGTTTTTCATGGCAAAGTGTTTGAAGTCCAGGGTCTTTTCTTCCCTCCCAAGAAGGAGAGCTCTTCCCCTCTCCTGACTATGGCATTGAGCCTCAAATATGCCTCTTCCCTCCCCGCCCCATTTCTGGATCATTTTCCTAAGCTGCTGCCTGTTTCCTTAGATCTGGAGGTCTGGGCTTCCCTTAATTGTCAGATTTGATGTTTTTCTCTGCTCCGTCTCCTTTGATGAGTTTCTGTTTGTCGGCAAGAAGGGAAGACGAAGGCTGCGCTTGACACTGCCGGCCACGGAGATGACAGTGAAACGTGCCATCCAAGATGGGCAATTCATGCCTCTCCCAGGGAAGCAGAGCAGTTCAAGGAGTTCCTCCTGCTCTAATTCTCTTCCTCAGTGCTTCAGCCAGGACAGTTCCCAGGCTCGGGCAGGAAGGAGGCTCTCCGTGTTTTCTGGGGATTCTTTTGAAATCCCGCCTGCAGCACGAAGGCCAGCTGGGGGATTCTGGGCCAGTCGCTCGGTCTCAGCCCAACTCACCTCACGGGGTTGTTGTGGGGAAAATAGGAGGAGGAAGGAGCTAGGGTTAGGGTTTGTATGGTTTGTTCGCCTCCTTGAGTTATTTATAAAAAAATAACAAAGGTGGAATTAAATCTAAAATCTAAAAAAATATAAAGACTAAGTCACTTCAGGGAAGGGAGGCACATAGTAGTGTGGGGAAGATGGCCAGCCTGCCCTCCAGCCAGTGACCGATAGAGGGGGAGGCCTCCACAGAAGCAGCTTTGCTTGAATTAAGCAAAAGTCCTGCCCGATACACGTTAGAGGCGGCAGAGCCAGCCACTGTCTGTCTGGTCTTCTGGATCGATGCAGCAGCATTGCCTGGTTTATAGAGCTGTAAGCAAACGAATCTCTCTGCTTTTAGAAGGATTGCTGCTTAGACTGACTGAGAATGGGTCAAGTTCAGACGCTGGCGTGTGAGCGCTCAGTCCACTCTCTGGTTCCCTGCTCCGAGTATGTTTGGCCAGTCTCTGTTCCTCAAGCTTCTGTGGCTCCTTCTGCCTTACATTTGAACCTTGCTTTGAAACGTTAGTGCCTTTTCTAAGAGCCAGGCATCCCAGATAGCAAACCTTGTGATGGTCGGGAAGCCCGTTTTTCCAGACAAATGCAGGCAAGCAGGTAGCCCTCTTACATCGCTGTCTCCTTGATTATATTTGGCATCCACCTTTCCTGACAGAGAAGGTGACAAAATATGGGCTGGACCATTAGATGATTATAAAGCTAGTTGACCAGTTCTTCATCAAGAAGAGTTGTACGGTCATGATAAAAAAAAAAAAAAAAAGTCCTCATCATTCCACACTCTTCTTATTGGCCAGACCCACTTGGAGTACTGTGTCCAGTTCCAGGCATTGACAATCTGGTGCGTATCTGGAGGAGAACAAAAGGATAGGGCGCCTGGAAGGAAGAAATTATGTTGGAGGCATTGTGTATGTTTAGCCAGCATGTGCTGAGGACTAACACTTCTGCACAGAAACTAAAAACTGTAGTTTGAAGATTGGTGTCAGGTCTTGGAATTGTAAAGGCTTGGCCTGCAGAGTTAAGTCCCACAGGCTTACATCCGTGGATTTGTGGCCATTGGAAGACAGTAGTGCTGTGTGGATCAGCTTCATTCAAGGGGCTCCCAGCTGCTGCTGCTGCTCCTTTTCCTTGCTTATTATGCTGCAAAGTGAAGTGAGAAACTGGATGGTAGTTTCTTTGGGGTTTGCCTCTCCGGCACCCTGAGAGGAGAAGTCCTCAGCTGGGCTGGTGTTGAGCAAAGTGGCAAAGACAAGTTCCTTCTGGCTGCAGTACCAACATTGTTCTGTCGCCATGTTTGTTTCAAGAAGCGGAAAGAGTTTACAGGGCTGTTTTGCATGAATTGGAAGGAGCCGGACCTTCCATTTAAAAGTGGCAGGCTTCTGGCAAACTGTGGCCCAAAATGCTGGCTGATGCTAGATGGTTGGGGAAGTTGTGGGCTAAGTATGCGGGATCCAGAAGGGGCCAGCATCTTTACAGTTGGAGCTGCCTGCAAAGACTGGGTGGCGTTTTTCCAGTCATACCCCATGTCTGAGTCGTATTTTCAAGAACGCAGCAAGTGGTTTAAAGAGACAGTTCAGAGCCTGGCAGATTTATAATTGTGTGACTCGGGATTTTTTCCCCACGAAGTTTTATGAGCACCTTCCTCCCTAGCTTCTCTCCTCTTACAGTGGCCCAGCATACCACACTGGATTGCCCTTGCACGCATGGCTTGCAGCTGTGCCCATTGCCCAGAGAAGGGCATCTCTGCATCTTTTGCCCATCCCAGTTGTTTCTTTGGTTCCAGTTTTTCTCTTCCGCAGGTATGGGGACCACGGATCACGTCATTGTGCTGGCATCCACCAACCGAGCGGATATCCTGGATAATGCCCTCATGAGACCTGGGAGGCTGGATCGCCACATCTTTATCGATCTGCCCACTCTGCAGGTATGATCATAGATCAGTTGGTCTCAGCCCTCTAAGAGGGCAGCCGTGAGGAAGGCTGGTAGGTCGATGCAGATGTGCACACCCAGGTTCTTGAATCTAAGATCTCCAACTGCATGGGCTGACTTTTGCCTCGATTGCCCTACTTTTGTTGTTGTCATTCAGTCTGGATCCATGTGATCCAGATGTCTGTTTAAAAACAGATAAAGCACAGAGCTTAAACAAGTTTGCTGCTTGTGTCCTCCAGCCGAGGAAGCTGGGTCTGCAAAGAGAGTTGGAGCCGTCTCTGCTCTCCAGCGGATGAGTGCTGAACTCAGGGCACTGGCGTACCCCCATGTAGAGAGGACCCCAACTGCACGTCTCTCTCTCTCCACAGTGGCTTCTTTGGGGCAGAAACAGGCTCCTCTGTTTCAAGAATAGCAGCATCTACTTTTCCTTTTTCTGGCCAAGCTGCCCTGTCCTGGCTGCTCTCTGTTTTGGCATAAAATTCCTCAAATGCCTGATCTGATCTGGCACCAGGAGCGTGAGCTGCGCAGCTGCCCCGAAGGAAGAAGGAGCAGGAAATCCTGGCAGCTGAGCCTGACGCTCTAATCAAGGCCATTGTAACCAGCCAAATGAGTCACTTTCTGGCACAGGGCCAACCTGGTCTGCCGCCCCCCCCCCGCCATTTCCTTCCTTTCATTCATGCGTAGAAGGATGGGGAGCGTTTGAGAGTCTGGATTCCCTGTCTTGGTGCAAGTGGTGTGAGGGTGAAAAGGCTTTGGGGTGAAAGTGGACCGATGAGAGCCACGACCGTTGGGGAAAAGAGGGGCCGGCCGGCCATCTCGGCAGTCACCTTGCTTCGCTCGTTCCCTGTTGAATGAAGTCACGGCTGGGCTGTCGAGGCCGAGGCTTGGTGGCTGCGCCTCGGAAAGTCTCGTCCAAGATCAGGCATCTTTGGCGGAGCGCCCCCTCCTTCGGCAGACATCCTGCCGTGGGGCAGCGAGGGCTGCCTGGTGCAGTCAGGGCCAAGACAGGCTCCTGGAGCGCTTAGCCCCCGGCTCTTAAGGTCAGCTGTGCCCAGGCCGCGACGCTGCAGAGCCTGTACATGGCCCTTTGAATGGCTGAGGGTCTGCCCTCCTTTCCCCAATTGCTGACGGAGTCCCACCCCTTCTGGAAAATCTGGCAGCCCCACCTGCCCGCCTGTCCCGCTTGTGTGTGCCTTCAGGTCCCAAACACTTCTGCTCTCTTCTTTGCAGGAGAGGAGGGAGATCTTCGAGCACCACTTGAAGGGCCTGAAGCTGTCCCAGCCTAGCAGCTACTACTCCCAGCGGTTGGCCGAGCTCACCCCAGGCTTCAGTGGTACGTGTCAGCAGCGAGCTCCAGCTTCTCCAGGCCCCATCCCCCTGAGCCAAAGGGGGCTGAAGCCACATCTGCTGGGCTTGCCCTGCATGCGTGGCTCCAGTTTCTGTGGGGCAGGAGCAGCAGACTCCGTTCTCCAGTTTAGCTTTCAGAAGTCCGTGCAGGGAATGGGAAAGAAGAAGGTTTCACGGTTGTAGCAGTGTGGTAGCCAGGGTTGAACGAAGGGGGAAGAAAGGAGACTCACCTGCTTCTGGAGCCCTTCCACTTTAAACTTAAAACTGGGCTCTTGATCCCAGTTTCCTGTTTGTGCAGAGGGAGCAGAGTCCCCGCCGTGCATTCCCTCTCGCCCCCAGCCCCCACCCCGTAGCTGCTGCCACTTTGCCTCTGTCCACTCCGCCCACACACACCAACTCGGAACAGATGTTCCTCCTCTTCCCCAGCAAACTGTGTAGTCAGCATCGGAGGAGCCCCAGGGCCATGCCGAGCCAGGTTTTCCCAGCTCCCCTCCCAGGAGCACCCTGGGGTTGGGCCTGATTAACTCCTTGCTGTCCCGGTGGAGCACCTCTGGGAGGGCAGCCAGGCCTGGCTTGTGGCTGGAATCCTGCTTAAACAGCACAATCAGCAGCCCGGGCTGTCTGCTCCCTCCTTGAAAAGCCTGTTTCTCATTTGCAGAAGCCTCCTTCCAGCCCACTTCCGAATTCCCACTCCAGCACGCTTGGTTTTCTTTTCTTCTGCCGAACTTTTTATTCTCTAAGTTTTTTAAATCAAACAAAATGCCACGGTTGATGGAAAAGCTTTTAGAAGAGAATTCCTGGATGCTAGCGTTGAATGAGGATTAAATAGAGAAAACCAAATAAAAGGACTGAGGAAGTAGGGAAGATAATAAATATCTTCCAAGGGCAGTGGGGGATAAAAGGGGTGATGTTGTGTTAGCTGCACTGTAAAGATCCTATTAAATCTGTCAGCTGTAGAGGCTAGAATGTTGGACCGGGATGGGGGAGACCCAGATACAGATTCCCACTTGGGAAGCCCCTCAAGTGTTTTTGAACTGGTCACCGTTCTCAGTTCAAAGGGAAAGCCTGCGCACGGCCCTCCGTTCCTGAGAAAAAGTGAGCCGTAATGGAAATAAGGGATGAAAAACAACCGCATTCCCAGAGTTACGTCCTTGTAAATGAGGCACAAGGGCCTTTAAAAATCGTTTTGATTCTTTCCAACATCATAAAATCTTGGAAAGAAATTCTGTAAAGGTACTGGGAACTGCCTGTCTGTCTGTCCAATCGCAGGAGAACCCTCCAAAAACTGAACAGGACCAAAGTTCATGGGGCAGGGGAGAAGCGGGCTGGATTCAGCTGGGGGCTCCAGAGGAAAACATGGCAGAAACTCTCCTCCTGCCTGCATCCCTGTGGGAAGGGGGGCCATTGAGCAGCGGCTCACACAGTTGCTGGCTGCCTCTTTCTAAGCCCCATCCCAGTCACACGATAAGAGCAAATCTTATACAGCCTCCCCTGGACTTCCCAGTTCACACATCCACACGACAACAGACACAGACACCCCCCCCCCAAATACATTACTTCATTATGTAGAATAAAATACTGATGCCATCTACGGGGATCAACAGTAAAGAAGTTGGAAAGAATTCCAGAACCCATTCTCTGCAGGGTTTCTCTACCGTAAATTCTGCCAGATGTTAAATAAAAATGTTTTATTACCTTGCACAACAACAGGAAAATGAACCAGTATGTCAGCTACATTTTCCCCACTTTGTCCAGCTACCAGTGCCTTTACTTGCAGAAAAATGATGAAAAATATTGCTCCCTAAAAAGGTGATTGATCAGAGCCCCCAAGGGTAAGGAGCTTGTGTAAATCCCGAGACCTCCCGAATATCTGTCATATAATAGAACACAGCCCGGGTTGAAGGTTTTTGAATGTTAGAGATGAGAGATGAAACTCTTAGTGGAGCAGTGAATAGATTCACATTCAAGGTCAGATCCAGCAAGAGGAGGCGGTATAGCCACTATTGCACAGACAGGGAAGGCTGCAGCCAAAGAAACATTGGCTGAAACTTAGCTGGTCGGATGGCCAGGAGAAGAGGACCGCCTGCAACTCAAGAGGTGATTGGCTGCCCGGCACTTCCTTCCGCGTTGGGCTGGCAAGTGAGGAGTGGAGCTGACACTTCGCTCTCCCTCGTTGGTCTCACTGCTTGCCCTTTGGGTCTCCTCTTCTAACGTGGTATGCTGGACAATGTGGGTTGCCCCACTGAGGATCCTATCTTGACTTAAGAGTGCCCAGCTGTCTTCCAACTGTTTGACCCTCTAGAACAGCATCTCTCAACCTCGGGAACTTTGAGATGGGTGGGCTTCAACTCCCAGAATTCCCCAGCCAGCCATGAAGTCCACCCATCTCAAAGTTCCCGAGGTTGAGAGACGCTGCTCTAGAAGCCAAGCAAGAGTTGTGGCTTTCTCTCCGCAGGAGCTGACATTGCCAACATCTGTAACGAGGCTGCTCTGCATGCTGCGAGAGAGGGTCATAAATCCATCGACACATTCAATTTTGAGTGCGCTGTGGAGAGAGTAATTGCAGGTAAGGCTTGCTTTCTGGTGGGGGGGGGAGTGTTAGTGTTCTTCAGCCTAGGCACGTGAGGAGAGCTCTGCAGGAAGAGCTGGTTTCACCTGAGCAGGCCCTCTAAGAGGCCATCGGCCAAGCAAAGCATGTGGGGTCCCAGTCCTGGTTGATTTAGGATCAGACGTGGACCACGAGGCTATCAGACGTGACAATCATCTCTGGTACGTCACGCTTGGAGAAAAACATGCACGACGTGCCTTGGCCTTGACAGGAGTTCTCTAAACACAGTTGAATGGGTACAAGCTTCCAGACTGCTGGCAAAGATTGGGCGGTTCTTCGTTTGCATTTTTGTTGCAGTAAGGATTTTCTGATGGATGCAGACCCTAGCTTAGCCTTTTCTGAGTTGGGGGTCCTCCAGAGCTGCTGGCCTAGAGTACCCACGCTTGCTGGAATTTGTAGAGGATGAGTTGCAGAGCAACGCTGGCAGAGGTCTTCTGGTGGGAAACATTCTCACCTAAACAGCCGGCTCTTTTGGGAAAAGAACCTTGTATGGTTCTAACTGCAGGCATTGCTTTTACGCATGGATGTGTCTTTGCTGCAAGGATATCTTTCTGTGAGGCAGAGTTAATGGCAGTTAAAACTAGAAATGGATCTGTAAGTCTCAGGTGTGAGATTGTGGACTTGCGTTGATGGCCAGCGATCCACTTCTAACCTTCCTTCAAGCAAGTGTCGTTCCCTGCTTCCTTGGCCGCCTCATGTCTCAAGGCCTGCAAGAGGTTTTTTGAGAGCTTGAAGGAAAGAGGCAAAGGTTCTCCCTCTTTGTGATGTTAGGAACAACCTGGAAAACAGAGCTTTTCCCCCCACCCCTTTGTAGGAGCTGCCAAAAGAAGCAAGATCCTGTCGCAGGAGGAGCGGAGGGTGGTGGCGTTCCACGAGTCAGGCCACGCCCTGGTGGGCTGGATGCTGGAGCACACCGAAGCAGTGATGAAGGTACGCTGGCGCTCTGCCGCGAGGTTAGATTCGCCGAGCGTGGCAGGTCAGCTCATGGCTCCTCCTCCTCCCCCGTTTCCTGCCACAGGTGTCCATAGCTCCTCGCACAAATGCTGCACTGGGCTTTGCCCAGATCCTGCCAAAGGACCAGTACCTGCTGACCAAGGATCAGCTCTTTGAGCGGATATGCATGGCCCTGGGGGGCAGAGTCGCAGAAGCCATCACCTTTAACAAAGTGACTACAGGTGAGGAAGGCCTGCCTTGCACAGAAGAGGAGCAGGAAGCTACCTGGTTGCCTTGGCCTCCCATGGGGCAGCTGGGTGCCCCACTCTCTCAAAATGCCTCCCTTCTGATGAAGTAAAAAAGCCATTTGGCAGCATTTTAAAACGTTTCTGGTATTGCCTTTGTTTTTATCCTCCCTCCCTTGCTCCAGGGGCCCAAGATGACCTCAGGAAGGTCACTAGGATAGCCTATTCGATGGTGAAACAATATGGAATGATGCCCACTGTTGGCCATCTGTCCTTCCCAGAGACTGAAAGTGGCCCGGGGATTGGACGGCGCCCCTTCAGCCAAGGGCTGCAGCAAATGATGGACCACGTAAGTTTTCACCTTGGAGTCAAAGCTGCAGAGGAGATGGGGCGTTGGTTCCTTTCGCGTCACAGCGCTCCTGAAGCAAGACCCCCTCCCCCTTTGCAGCTCCCCAGGCAGGAAGATTATTGAGTGGCACAGTCCTACCAGGGCCAGGACACTTAATTCTGAGCCACCTCTTCTCCTGGCTGGGAGCTGTCCCTGAAAGGGCGCGAGTTGTGGTCAGTGGGTTTGTTCCAATCCTTTCCCCCATTGCCATTTGGTATCTTTTCTAGGAAGCGAAGATGCTGATAGCCCAAGCTTATAGGCACACGGAGAAACTACTGATGGATAACCGGGAAAAACTGAAGATGGTAAGGCCCTAATACAGTTCTGGAGGGCTGAGTGGCATGGGGAGGGTGAAAAGCTGCAGAGGATCAGCAGGTGGGGCTCAGCACCAGCTGTGAACAAGTTGCTCCCTTCTGGCTTCTCCTGTGAGGCGAAAGTGAACCTCAGAGCAAGTGTTGCATTAAAAGAAAGATATATGTTAACAGTCCTGCTTTAAAGCTAACAAAGAAATCAGACCTCTGCTAAGGTGACCTCGCTGCAGCACCCTGAAGACTACACGGTTTGAAAGGTGCCCCCTTTCCCAACCAAAGCCATTTGGGAAGCTATCCAGGCCTCGAAAGGCCAAAGAAACAGAGAGGCTTTCTGCACTCTTTAATGGACCAGCTACTCTCTTGAGCAGGAAGCTTCTCCTGCTTACATCTAGTTGTACAATGCTGTCCATGGTGCACGTTCTCACCTTTTAACTTTTCTGGACTAGCGGGATCTGTGGTAGGGGAAGAGAGCTGTATGTCAGAGGATGAATTCTGTCCCGCGTCTTTCCAACTGCTCCCATGTTATCACTTACCTGGGGAGCGCCAGAACTAAGAGATTGCCAAGGGTGCACAAAACATTTCACGTTGGTGTGATATGTCTCTAGAACATCCCGTTTTTCTTCCAGAGCAGGCTGGTCTGAGATTTGGTTCTGGAATATCTGGAGGTAGGTCATGCAGAAGTAAAGGCAGCTCATGATGTTCCAGATACGTTGTATTTTCAGAAAAAAAATGTGGCAGGTTTACCACCTTTCAGTTTTCTCACTGACAGAGTAATTTCTGGCTCTGGGCAACTGTTTCTGGAAGTGGATGTACCTCACCTGGAGTCCTTGGTCAGCCTCTTTCAGAGGGGAGAAGGATGTTCTAGAGCCAGATTACCTTGGCACAAAACATTTTGCAGATGGCCTTAGACTACACCCAGCATTGGAAGATTCCAAAGTGGCGAAGGGGCTAAAATCTTTCTCCAAAGCTCTGCGTTTTCAGAGTGCTTGCAGGGACCAATTGTTTCCTGTTATCGGGGGCCATTTTTACACTCCTGTGGCAAATGGAGAAGCTTTTACTTAGGCATATTTACCATCTGCCAACTTCTTCCTCTCTAGCTGGCAGACGCCCTCCTGGAGAAAGAAGTCATCAACTACGATGACATTGAAGCCATTCTTGGCCCTCACCCCCACGGGCCCAAGAAAATGATCTCCCCCCAGAGCTGGATTGAAGCAGAGAGAGACAAACAGGACGTAGGAGATGAAGAACCCCCGCCTCCACAATCGCCCCGCTACAAGGAGGAGCAAGAGCCTCACCTGAGCTCCGTTTGAAACCCGTTCATGAAGCAGAGCAGCGGGATGAAGTCAGGCTTCCTTTCCAAACCGAGAGGCGCTGGGGGAAGCCTTGCTTCTGCATCATCCGTCCAGCCCGGTTTGGATGTGGGTTGTAAGTGGGCCGAGCAGGGAACGGTGCCGGAAGCACCATTTTTGAGGCCCCTTGGCTTTTGGTTCAGAGCTGCTCTGAGCGACCCACCCTTTGTGGAACAAACCCAGTTCTCTGCCTGGCGTCTCCTGCTTAGCTTTCCTCACTAGAACCGTTTTGTTTACCCACCAGCAAGGATTAGGGTACACAGCCTGAGTTGACCCTGCGTCTTGGATGCAAGAGCATTCCTCCAGTTGCTCTGGACGGGGAGAAACTGTAGGGACTCGAGCTTTATCAACAGTTCTGGGTGCTACTTACGGAGAGGAGGAGGAGGACGGGCACAGCTTTGGCTGGTGGATCTCCCCAAAGTTAATTTGAATCTCCTTTAGGAGACTGTAGTTCCCAGAGAGAACTCTTGTTCACACCTGTCCAAGGCAGTGTGGGCCACTCGCAGCACTGCCTCACTTCCACCTCACCTGCTAGGAGGGTCTGGCTTGTACGCACGCACTGAGCTACCTCAGTGTGGAGAGACATTTGGTACAGTTTCAAAATAGGCCATTGCATTGCAGAACTGAGAAAAGCAGCTATTTTAGTTCGGCTGCGTAAGCCTTCGCGAAGCTCCGTTGCCTCAGCCCAGCAGTCTCCGATGATCCGTCGCTGCCACCTGGTGGTCTGCTGAGGAACCTGCCCCATATTTTGCTCCAGCGGAGAGCTAAGAGGTTAAGCTACCCAGTTCCTGACTGGTGATGGCAATTTCCAAGGGCCCCCGATTCATATTCAGCTCATCAAATGGTTCTTGGTGAGGGACAGCCCAGCCGTTCTAGGTGGTAGCAGAGGGTTCTGAGCATTGGGGCTCAGCAAGATGCAAAGTGAGGCCATAAGCTCCCTATGCCATCCAAGTCTGCAGCCTAGCAACGTCTTCATGAAAACCCCTTTGTTAAAGAAATTCAGGAACAGCAACATAAATGAAGTGTAATTTTAGGGCACATCCACGTGTTTGCCTTTTTTTGGCAAACTGGAGAGGCTTGTATTTTGTTTGCAACGGGCTGCTGTATTTTAATAAAGATTCAGAAGTGCTGCACATCCGAGTATTGCTGAACCTTAAGGGGGTTTTAACTAGGAAAACCACATTTTCTATTCCCTGTTCTGAACAATGTCCTCAGATTTCAGGATGAGGGATATAAAGGTGAAGTTTTCTTTCTCTGCTTTTTCTAGAATCTTCCATCTCTTTTACATAAAAAATGTGTTTATTACATTTGTGAAACCATGATTTACTGCTATATGATCACCATCTTTCCAAACAATTGTACGTTGTCCAATACTTACACACCATTCAAAACAGAGAATAAAAAAGCTAAGGAGGAAATGGAAAGACCAGAACGTCTTCTCCAGCAGCCGACGCCCAGATAAGCAGGGATTAACACCAGACAAGCAGAAAACAATACCCTAATTGAGGAACTGCCAAGGAGAAAACCGCACCCCCACCAAAACTGGCAGGGCAAGCTGCTGTATATAATGGGGAACAAAACCCCACACTCACCAGCACTAATGACGTTACCTAGTTGGGTAATGAAACGTCTGCAAGCAAACCACCAAGCTCAGAGAGCACCAAGGACTCCATATTGTCCAACTATTTAAAAAATGCTGTATTACAAAATTCCAAAAGCACCTGATTTAGCCTTAACTGCCTATTTCCATTGCTTATTCAGCATGACCTGTTGTTTCTGCTGATACGATGCAACTGCCTGTAACAATTATCTGAGGCACAACAACAAGGGTTTCATTCAAGATAACACATTTTCCTCCTAAGGCTAGCGAGGGCAATTCTCCTAGACTTGGTGTCAGGATCTTTTGCAAATGATCTTTCAAGGTTTTTTAAAACGTTCTTGATGTGGCTGGGCTGCCTTCTTCACGCGTGCAGGCTTAACAGAGCCGCAGACAATACAAAATACTTTAATGACCAAGTATAAAATATATACAAGGAATTTGTCTTCGGTGACGAACAGCAAGATCGACAGTGTACAATACAAAATACTTTAATGACCAAGTATAAAATATATACAAGGAATTTGTCTTCGGTGACGAACAGCAAGATCAACAGTGTGTTGGACCTTTGCTTTAGCAGGCAGAGGCCAGGGCGGTGCGGCTTCTGATCAACGGCGGGAGCCGGTTTCTTAGGACCAGCCCTCTGATGCTCCTGGTTTTGACTCCTGAATGGCACCAGTTGTAATTTGTGGCTAGAGGTAAATCTGAAAGCCTTGGAATGTTGTAGGACCACCAATTCATGAGCCCAATATAATTAGATTTGATTTCTAGCAGCTATCATATCTGGCAGCCAACGGCTGTTGGTGGGATTCTTTCTTACCACGTGGCTGCCTTTTCCTTCTTGAGCGCTCCCTCCATAAGAACATAAAAATCCCCTCCTTGAACTAGAGCGCCATCCCCACAGAAGCAGGCTTTAGCGTCGGGGATGCTTTCAAAACACGGTTGAGCGCCAAGGGTCTCTGGCCGAGTCTATGCCAGTGTCTATACCAGTCTTCCTGCATTAGATGCTGTCCAGATATTACAGACTACAGCTCCCATCATCTTCAACAGGCATGTTCATTAAGTCTATGGCGGGGTGTAATCCAGTATATCTGGGAGGCACCAGATTAGGAAAAAGCGACCTGCGTTTCTTCGACTTCGTAAAAGGAGGTACAACGGAAACCAGTGGGGGGGGGGGGGGGCGGCTCCTTTAAGTTAGGCGCCATCTTTGTGAGGGGCAAAGCGACTGGAAACGGGAACTGGCAATTCCGCTGCGCGCATTGGCCGGGGTGAAATGGCGCCACTTCCGGGGCGCCTCGGACGCGGCGACGGCAACATATCCCGGCGTCCGTCGCGCCCCTCTTTCTTTTTCCGGCCGGCCATTTTCTCTCCCGGGAGGTGAGTTCTCGTGCTGGGGGGGCGCCCGGGGCCGCATCTGCCGCCATCCGCCTCCCGCGCTGCGGAGGCAACCCCCGAGACGGCCGAGCGGCCTCCGGAGGGCCTTGCGGCTGAGCTCCGGCGGCGAGAAGCGGAGCCG